AGCGAATAAAAAAACTGACAAGATTTTCGTTGCAGACTCAAAAACGAGCATTAAACTCCCTAAAAAAAAACAGAAGAAGAAGCGCATTTCTATCGGATTTGTAATCGTTGAATATGCAAATCAGATATTGCTGCTGATGATATTTTGTTGTTTGGTGGCGTCATAAAAAAGACTAATATTGAAACGTCAGACGTTGAAGCTAAGAAGCTAAAACGATTCAAATGATGCACGTCGAAAGTACTCATCTCTTCTCGTTACCTGAACTCAAAACGGTTGGTGAAGTAATATTTACTTTCTAAAATAACATTTGTTTGAGATGAATATGATGCGTTGTTGAAGTAATTTCTGAGTAAATGTGCGTATTTTCATGTATTCAGCCAGTTCTAAATCATACTAAACATTAAGAATAATCACGGTTATGTTGAGTTTCATCAGCTCTCTTATGTGCTATTGTGCATATGTTCATTTTGCATTGAAATTCGACTTCAGTCAGACTGAATGGACTCAAACTCTGATTGTTAAGAAGTTTTTTTTTGTGTTGGTGTACGTGATTTAAATATTTACATAGGGCTCTGTTTATATCGCTCTCAAATTAATATCTCTTCACTGTACGAGTAGGTGGAGATGTTGAAAGAAAAAAGTCTGCTTAAAAAATTTCAAAATCTGTTCTGTTGATNATCATTTAAGCAATCTGCATTTGATAAATTGCAGCCGGACACGGTCGTGCTACCACCTGTAGTGATCAGTCCGTCTGACGTTGATAACGTTAACGTGACACTGGAAAAGAATCAGCAATGTGCGTGTAAGGATTGTGGGAAGCTGTTCAATTCGGTATGGTATTTGAAGCAGCATGCCGTCAAACACTCAAATGATCGCCCGTTTCGATGCAAATTCTGCTTGAAGGTTGGAAAAATTTTCACATTCATGGCTTTTCTCAACACTTTTCTCAATATTTTCAATTGTAATGTGCTATGTTCAGTTCAATTGCTCACATCTCAATTCACCAAAATTCGATCATTTCGATATTTCACATAATGAAACTTTTACGTTCATTATCATCTCACATCACTAACTATCGTTCACAGATAAAAACCGCTTTAATGAATTTACACTCAAAACAGGTGTCAACGTTGTTTCGGTGTTTCTGATAATCAATGAATAGATTATCACTGATTATATCAGAAACTCAGTGATCTCGACTTTATGAAGCCCATAAAGCCAATTCTGTGTAACATTCACTCCAAGTTCTCGTCGATGTCACTTCAGATCTCAATTTTCAGACGTATAAATTTCGATCAAATCTCTATCAGCATAAATGTCCGGATCGCTCGAAAAATGGTTTCATGTAAGTTTTC